GGACCGTGGACGTAGTACTTCCCAGACATCGTAGTCGGCATCATCAGTGAGTCTAACCATTCTTAGCACAACACTACAACTCGTCAGAGACAAATGAAGCTGATCCTTTGACCTGGAGAAAATGCGCTAACGGCCCTGCTGAAAATCATGTAACGAGAGGAGGATATCCTCAATTCACAACGGATCAGGAGGGAGTCGTTAACAAGACTAATCAACTTAACAATAAGGACAACCTATTTTACATTCAACGGGAACATCTATGAACAAAATATCTGGATTTCCCATGGGATCACCGCGCATTTTCTCCAGGTCAAAGGATCAGCTTCATTTGTCTCTGACGAGTTGTAGTGTTGTGCTAAGAATGGTTAGACTCACTGACGATGCCGACTACGATTCCGGCGAAACGTCTGTGAAGTACTACGTCCACGGTCCGACTTGGGGAATTATCATGGACTGGTCGAAAGGAGACTGCGACCATACCCGAGGCCACAACATCTTGGTCTTCACATCTTCAGTGATTTTGATGTTTAGCAGCAGCCAATTGACAAGCGGGTACGAAAAAAGCGGGGCAGGATGCAGGTCAGGAGCTATGCAAAAGACATCTAGGACCGGTGGTGCATAAGTGGATGCGCCATATGAAGTGGGGTTGAGAGAAAGAGATGCGGCACTATAAGGTAGAACAAAAAATAGAGGCGAGAAGTGATTACACAATGGTTGAACAGAAAATTGGTCAAGGGCATTGGCCTCACATGTAACTTTGATAAGTTGTAACTCTGTGCCTACGATGGCGCCCCTCAATGATGATGCCAACTACGATGCTGGCGAAATGTACCAGCCAATGGTCCAATCATGGGAATCATGAATACTATTGCAGAGGACACTGGACTAGGTACGCTCCACAAAGTTCCCCTGACGCTTCAAGCAAGTTTCGAAAACAAGGTCCAACCAACACTATAAAGCTAAAGGAGGATGCGACCAAACAGGAGGCCACACCAGTTTGGCTTTCATATCTACGATACTTTCGCTTTTCTAAATCTCGGAACCCTTGTTACTTACTAGGTCTTTCTGCGTTAAAAAATGGATGAGTTCTTTCTATATAATAATGGCTTACATCCGCCAAAACTTTGGCCGCCAAACGTGGATAGGCGTGATCAACTCGAGACAATTCACTTATCGCCTTGTTAACCATAGAGTCTGCTAGGTTCAATCCACCCATCGACGTAGGTTGAAATGATGGAGTTAGATTTTCAGTGGCTAAGATTCTATCACACCCCATGAGAGGTTCCTGCGCCACACCGTTGTTTTGTGTGGATGATGATTGAACTGCTGATACACATGCAGTAGTGCCAGCCGAAGATGCAAGAGAAGAGGATTGCAGAGGTAAGGCCGAAGACGACTCAGGCTTAACTGAAATAACGGACGCAGCCGATAGGTTTTCCATGGTGTCAAAAACAGAAGCGGATAATTCTTCAAGTGGCTGCATCTGAGAGTCACTTAATA